TTATAACAGTTGTTTATTCATATTTATTTTGCAAAAATTAATCCCAAAGATCAGACACATTATAATTCGAATTATTTATATTAATTAAAATAAATTAATACTTAGCTAAATTATGATGGCCAGATAAATTTGTTTATAATCCCAATACTAACTCCTTCAAAACATGGATGAATTTCAATATATTCTTATTTTATGGAAAAACAAAATTGGCGGTGTTTATAAATTCTTCCATGTACAAGTTCAAAAATTTCAAGGATTTAAATAGTCCCAAGTTTGTTTTTTTCTTCTTAAAAAGGAGGATCTAAACTGGTTCCCCAATTCCCCTCCGAGTGACTCGAACTCGGGACATGGTACACGCCAAGTGAGGGTACAATAGTCCCAAGTTTGTTAACCCAACTATGCTTATAGGTACTGTTTAATTTTTTGTCTTTATAAATAGCTATTACATTTTCCTTTGTTGTTTTAATTATATCAATCAATTATTTTTTTATTATTATTGTTGTTATTATTATTATTTTGAAGATATAATCGTTAGAATAGTCATGTACCAAAATGTGCAAACTACCATCTTCAAAAGGTGTTGACAAGAGATTTTTGTTGACCAAAATTGTATGTGGCACGATCTAGAGTCATCAGTCGGAGGAGTTTGGAGATAATAATTTGTGTTGATGGAGATTGTGACGATAGAAAAACCACGAACGTTGTATATAAAGAAATATTTAATAATATTTAGATATTATTTCTTATTTTGTTTCAATGATTATGTTATTATTTTTATATTTGTTTTTTTTTTACTTTATTCTCTTCTATCATATAACTTTCCGTGCAAATGCACGGGCCAAAAACTAGTTTATTATAATTTTGGTTAATGGTTAAATTTTATTTTATTTTTCTCATTTTTTGTTGCAGTTGTACGATAAAAAAATTAATTATTTAACTTTTGTAAACTACATAAGTATGATAAATATTAATCAATCAATAAATTTAATTGTATAACTTGGTTTACATACGGAATTTATTGTAAGTACTGCTAACAATAACTAATAATTTACAAGATTGCTATTTGTCGCCTTGAATTACTACTTGTTGCGCCAAAAAAATAAATTTCATGTATTGATTGATCTACACACGTTCCAAAATCTTAAAAAATCGAACCAAACATGATTTTCGTGCAACCAACCAACCATCTCCCACAACCATGGCGCTCGACGAGGACGCCGGTGGAAATTAGAGAATAAAGAGAATCGCAAACAGAATAAATGAAACCATAGATATATCCAAACAATCAACGCCAATCACATCATTTTAGAGAATAAAGAGAATCACAAACAAAATAAATGAAATCATATATATATATCCAACAATCAACGCCAATTACATCATTTTTTTAATAATTGCAGCATGCACTATCAACTGAAATTGGGACCAGGAAGAAACAAAAAGATGAGATTATGCAATTAGTTGATGTCTTCATCATCAAAATTGTTCTGGAAATAATCGAAGAAATCGAAATAGGCGAGTTGGTGGAGGTCTATGATGGGGCCCTCTCCAAAAGATCAATGAGGAGTCGACGTCGTCGACATCCATCGCCACCGTGACGCTGCAGCTTTGCTCCTCAGCCTCCCCGTCCACATCAACCGCCTTCATTATTTGTTCGCCTGAATCTCTCTTTCGCCTCGCTTTTGGAGAGGTTAGTCATGAATATTTGAGCGGTGCAGTAAAAGAGAGGATGGTGGCACCCGGTGGTTTTTTATCGCACGTAAGGTATGTGATTTGGAGAAGAGAGAGAGGGAGGGAGGGAGGAGGAGGAGAGAGATAGA